GGGCTATGTAGGGCTGTGTAGGGCTATGTATGGTTATGTAGGGCTGTGTATGGTTATGTAGGGTTATGTATGGCTGTGTAGGGCTGTGTATGGCTATGTAGGGCTATGTAGGGCTATGTAGGGCTAAGTATGGCTATGTAGGGCTATGTATGGCTGTGTAGGGCTATGTATGGCTATGTAGGGCTATGTAGGGCTATGTAGGGCTATGTAGGGCTATGTAGGTCTGTGTATGGCTATGTAGGGCTATGTAGGGCTGTGTATGGTTATGTAGGGCTATGTAGGGCTGTGTAGGGCTATGTATGGTTATGTAGGGCTATGTATGGCTATGTATGGTTATGTAGGGCTATGTATGGCTATGTAGGGCTATGTATGGCTATGTATGGCTATGTAGGGCTATGTATGGCTATGTATGGCTATGTAGGGCTATGTATGGCTGTGTAGGGCTGTGTATGGCTATGTAGGGCTATGTATGGCTGTGTATGGCTGTGTATGGCTATGTAGGGCTATATACGGCTATGTAGGGCTATGTATAGCTATGTAGGGGCTATGTATGGCAGTGTAGGAGCTATATATATGGCTATGTAGGGCTGTGTATGGTTATGTAGGGCTATGTATGGCTGTGTAGGGCTGTGTATGGCTATGTAGGGCTATGTATGGCTATGTAGGGCTGTGTATGGCTATGTAGGGCTGTGTAGGGCTATGTATGGTTATGTAGGGCTATGTATGGCTATGTAGGGCTATGTAGGGCTATGTATGGCTATGTATGGCTATGTATGGCTATGTAGGGCTGTGTATGGTTATGTAGGGCTATGTATGGCTGTGTAGGGCTGTGTATGGCTATGTATGGCTGTGTATGGCTATGTAGGGCTATGTATGGCTGTGTATGGCTGTGTATGGCTATGTATGGCTATGTATGGCTATGTAGGGCTATGTATGGCTATGTAGGGCTATGTAGGGCTGTGTATGGCTATGTAGGGCTATGTATGGCTATGTAGGGCTGTGTATGGTTATGTAGGGCTATGTATGGCTGTGTAGGGCTATGTATGGCTATGTAGGGCTATGTATGGCTATGTAGGGCTGTGTATGGCTATGTAGGGCTGTGTAGGGCTATGTATGGCTATGTATGGCTATGTAGGGCTGTGTATGGCTATGTAGGGCTATGTATGGCTGTGTAGGGCTGTGTATGGCTATGTATGGCTGTGTATGGCTATGGAGGGCTATGTAGGGCTGTGTATGGTTATGTAGGGCTATGTAGGGCTATGTAGGGCTATGTAGGGCTATGTAGGGCTATGTATGGCTGTGTAGGGCTGTGTATGGCTGTGTATGGCTATGTAGGGCTATGTAGGGCTATGTATGGCTGTGTAGGGCTGTGTATGGCTGTGTATGGCTATGTAGGGCTGTGTAGAGCTGTGTAGGGCTATGTAGGCTATGTAGGGCTATGTATGGTTATGTAGGGCTATGTATGGCTGTGTATGGCTATGTAGGGCTGTGTAGGGCTGTGTAGGGCTATGTAGGGCTATGTAGGGCTATGTAGGGCTATGTATGGCTATGTAGGGCTATGTAGGGCTATGTAGGGCTATGTATGGCTATGTAGGGCTATGTAGGGCTATGTAGGGCTATGTATGGCTGTGTATGGCTATGTAGGGCTGTGTAGGGCTGTGTAGGGCTATGTAGGGCTATGTAGGGCTATGTAGGGCTATGTAGGGCTATGTATGGCTGTGTATGGCTATGTAGGGCTGTGTAGGGCTGTGTAGGGCTATGTAGGGCTATGTAGGGCTATGTAGGGCTATGTAGGGCTATGTAGGGCTATGTAGGGCTATGTATGGTTATGTAGGGCTATGTAGGGCTATGTAGGGCTATGTAGGGCTATGTAGGGCTGTGTAGGGCTATGTAGGGCTATGTAGTGCTATGTAGGGCTATGTAGTGCTATGTAGGGCTATGTAATGCTAGTGAGAGCAATGTATGCCATATATTAGCTAACGGGGAACCACTATATGATGCTTACACCACGTACCTACCAGTTTGGTCTGCAAAGCCTCTGAAAGGTCATGTGACCCTTTGGGATTCTACGGTTACAATAATGTGTAAAAAGATCATTATAAAAGTATAATTATGCTATGACTTACACTGTACAATATTGTGTAGCCTGTGCCAGGCTCTTGGTCAGTGCAGATGAGCGAAAACAGCAAGTGAGCTGTGAAAGAGTGAATGAGTGAGAAACTGCAGGAAGAGAGAAGGATAGAGCCTGTAATCATCTTTTCAAATACATGTACAGGTACCTCAATCCACGCACTACCCCGCCCACTTTCTGAAAAACCGTTTCCCATGTCAATGATATGTCACGTGTCACAATTTCAAAAGGTGCAGTGTAGGAGGGTTCGACGGTCATGCTGTACAGATGTACAGGTTCGTTAGATTCTGTGCACTCCAAGTCAAATGTTTGACATAAGTGTTAAAGTATACTGTCACAATTGACCAATCATAGGGTATACCAGGAACTGGTATACCAAAATGAGGTAATGAAAGCAATGCTAACAGGCTCAACTACTCCATCTTTTTCCAGCCTTCACATGGTTTTCGCGCAACTTCCTCACTATCTAGGGGACTGGGACAGGCTAATTATTATGTTACTTCCTCTTAATAGTACTGGAAAAATAGAGCACCTACTATGTAGTCAGGTCAAATGTACTGTACTTATTCAGTAAAGAACAGCTGGCTATTAGTGACAGTAAAAAAGCCATTGTATCATTATTTATTTATTAATTGGCACATTTGATCCCTTTACAGTTAAAACCTGCAGATCTCTTTCTGGACCTAAGCATGGTCGTATTAGTTCAATCCAACCAAGCTATGACGTGGTTGGTCGGCCCAGTACTGTTGTTTATACGCAAGGTGTAAAAGTCAATTTTGCCTGTGATATGTACTACAGACTTGTGTTAAGTTCATCAATGACTTGTTTGCCATCAGGCTATTGGAGTAACATTGAACCTCGTTGTGGTAAGTACATTATTTATTTCTTTGTGTTTTAGATGAAACGTGTATATGTTTCATTTATTAAAAACTGAATCATTGGGTAACGGCATGCTAGAGCTCTGATTGGCTTAGCCATCATGGTATATGAACCATTATACCATGCTCTCCAAATATGGTAACCGTACGCGTCTGCTCAAAATTAAAAACAAGCTGAAAATGGGCTGTTTGTACAAATAAAGTCGGGAAGAATTCTCGATATTTTGTGGGCGTTTTTAATAAAACCATTATTCCACTCGCGCTTGCTGGATATTAGATGGCTATTTATCATCTCATATATGTACTTTAATTGAGTAGCTCAGTTTGCGTTAGAAAGAGAGAGTTACATGTATTTTGCATCTGGTACGTCCTGGCCATAAAAACGAACATAAAAAGTAGGTAGAAACCAGGTTCTATCGCGGAAAAACAAGGTCACTTTTACGAGAGGTTAACGCGAACTTTAAAAAGAACGGGCTATTGCGTTCGTGATCCATGAACACTTTCAAGAATCACGAACGCAATCTTGGAGCCAAAGATTAGTCATGTTACGGACAGACATGTATCAATGACTGTCACAGCTGATCGTTATCATGCCAACCGACCAGATAATTTCAGAATCGTTTGACGTCACAAAATAAGTATTTGTCTTCTTGCTTGTACACGAGTATACACTGTTTGTTTGCATTTGGAGCAGGCATTTGAAACTGTTCTTGAGGAAATGAAAACAGAAGTTCTATTCAGGACTACGCTCACTCGGACGATCGTGCTCCACCATAGGGATCCCACCCAATCTGTGTGTGTAACCGATTGTTATTATTTTAATATAGTAAATGTACTAGATTTCCCGTTTGCTTCACCTATAGCGATATACTATTCCTAATAATAGAAGGAACAGTAAACGGCGAACTTAAAATCCTTCCAAATTGCTCAAAAAACCGCTTTTAAGGCAAAAGGACGACAATATACCAAAAGGTGAGATAATTCGACGTTTATTTAACGTTGATTTATAGACATACTTAATGATACATCGCTATAGGTGAAGCAAACGGTAAATCCAGTCTGTTTACTTTTTAAGTAACAATCTGTTACACAAGCAGATTGTGTGGGCTCCCTGTGGTTTCACCAATTTATGAAATGACTCCTAGGTCCAAACCTTGCACAGGTTAAAGTTCTTTTAGTGACCTGGAAAATGCCTGCTCTGTAGGCTAGGGGTGAAGGCTCAAACTAGAGTGTTAAGACAGCACTGAGGTCTATGATCCTGAAAGGCAGCTTTTCTTTCACTACTTTTCTCAGGGCACCCAACGACTGTTTTTTGTGAAACATCTCTTCGGAAAAGCAAATATTGCCTAAAATTTTCTATTGGTTGAGGACGGCTAAAACTTTCTAGAAGACCGTTCCATTCATGTATAATGTTCGAAGCTTATCTTGTAAATTCCGTACGATTTTCTGAAGTTAAGTTTTTCACAATTCACTCTTCTTGTTGGGCTATTTTCTTAGCAAAAGGATACCCAAAATTTTCGAATTGTATAATGTGATGGAGAGAGGAATTAGAAAAATGCTCATATTCGTAAAACGTTGAATTTCATTTAAAATTTTCAGGAAAATAATAATGAAACCCTTGAAATTCGAAAAGACTCAAGTTCCCCTAGGATGACCGAACGGATACAAATACATGTGTTATGGCGCCGCTTATAATGCGAGATCTAAAAGTAATCTGGATAGCCTAAAAAGTGTTTTCAATGTATTTAGGAGGAAACCGACGTTGGGTTGTCGTGTTTTGTAGTTAACTTTTTCTTTTTGCACAGATATCTCGAGAGATTCGAACGGATATCCATTCCGTTTGAACAGCTAGCTGTTGAACGGCATACAAACGGCTGTACATTTCAAAACGGCAAACCGTTAGGAGACAGTGTTCGCGTGAGAGGTCATTTATTTTTTGAAAACTGTTTTTCGTGTGAAGATTTGACTATTGAAAATTTTCGTCTCTAACAGTACGATCAGCCTGTGGAAACCCTGGCAACATACCAAATGGTCGTGGAACGTTTAATAGCACATCCCCTTCGAATGTTCAGCCAATATGGACAACTGTGACTTACTTCTGCATTAGTGGATACCAGCTTATAGGAGTCAAGACTCGGCAGTGTCGTCCAAACGGCCGGTGGAGTGGGGAAGGAAATCCAGTATGCAAAAGTAAGAATGTAGCTAAACATACCTAATTCTCATTGCATCAGTCTTATCATGTCCTCTTATGATATTATGACAGAAGCGAAAAGTGAAAAAGGGATTTTTCGGCCTTTATCATTGGTACATGTTCACATGAATCGCGTAGCAAGAGAGGGTCGCAGCGCTTGAAAAAAGTCCTGTGCGTTAGAGCGATTTTTGTATGACCTTGAAAAATGTTTTCGGTAAGTGTTCGTTATTTGTTTTATCAGCCAATGGATGAAAAGATCAAAACATGGACTCTTCGTTTTCCCGCCAAAAAATACGCTAATATGGAGAAGACATTGTTCGATTGGCCAATCGTGTTGCAGTGTGACGCCATAGCAAAGTATCGGTTGGTTTCTAGAAAGTTCTCGGTCATGAAGTTTTTTCACCCGAGCGTTCGCTTAACCAACCAAAAGCCACGCGTTTGTATCCGTTCGACTAACCAATCATGTCGCTCTATTCCGTATTTTGTTGTTGTTGTTGTTTCTGTTTCGTTCGCGCGTTTTCATTTCAAGGTCATACGAAAATTCGCGCTACTTGAGAACGAGTATCATTTCTTGCTCGGCAAGTATCTTTCACCTCTCATGGCTCCAGGCTCCAGGCAAGTCACCCTCCACTCTGTGCAAGCAATAATGGAGACCTTTAGATTCTAAGACGAGTACGACTAAGAGTACGAGATTTTCTCGACGATTTTCTCAATACTAAGTTGTGCTCGCGCGTGAACCAGCGCCATTTTGGCGGGAAAACGTGATAGCCGTCGTCATTCTACTACCAGTTTTGGCGCGAATGTCTTGGTGGCGAAAACAGTATATCAAATGTTAGATGTTTTATCATTTTGCGATCGGGAGAGCGCGTAACCTCCTTCACTAAAGATAACAGTGCTAACTTTTCTAGTGAAAAATGGTAAAATGAAGCTTTCCGGGGAGTCTAAATTCTGAGAATACGTGGAAAGGGGAAAATACTTTGAATAAAATCTCGTACTCGTAGTCGTCCTCGGCCTCGAATCGAAATGTCTCTAATATGAGAACTCCTTGACCAAAGAATTCAATTTTTTTACGACCCTGGGGTAGTAACTGAGGCCCCGTATACAGCTATTTTGAGAAATGTTGTCGGATAAAGTGCACGCGATAACCCCAAAAGATATTGTGGGTGGATTTGAGTTCACTGTTTTTCAAAGAAATTTGAAAGATTTGCATTAGAGGCCATGGACATATGTCTTTGAGTGCTAAAGGACAGCAACAAAAGTATGTTCGACAGCTACAGTGTCAGGAACAGTGTGGTGGGCATATCGCATATTACCTTTCGGGATTCTCGCGTGCATATTTTTTTCCGACAACCTTTTTCGAGAAAGGCTGTCGGAAAAAATGTGCACGCGACAATCCCGAAGGTTAATATGGGATATGATCAATAGAATGTTCCTGATATTGTAGCTGTCGAAAATACTTTTTTGGCTTTCTTCTAGTACTCGCAAACATTCGTACATGTCCTCTTGTGCCATTATTTCAAATTTCGTTGAAGAACAGTGAACTCAGAACTACCTTCAGTGCCTTTCGGAATTGACGCGTGCACTTTTTTCGACAACCTTTCCCAAAATAGCTGTATATGGAGAAAACCTGTCCCCGCGGGTAGAAGGGTCTCCCTCCCAGGGGACTCAGCTATATGACGAAAAATGACCCCTTTGCCCCAGCCAACAGCGCTCGCGTTCTCTCCGACCTTGGGGTGGTAACCTACTTTTGTGTGGTACAGTACATGTACAATAAGTTGTCAAATCAAACATTTGGCAATGATAAAAATGATCATGTTGATATTGATGGTGATGTTTCCGATGATGGTATTCTTTTCTTGGCAGAGTCGACTTGCGTATCCCCAACAAACATCCCTCACGGCAAATACACACCTGTCAAGCCAACCTATAAAGTGAATGTCCGCGTTCATTACACTTGTTCTCCTGGATATTTTCTTTGGGGTGCAGCTTCTTTAAAGTGTTCCGCTTTGCCAGATGACCCAAAGGGCTTCTGGCAGGGGTGTGACGATTTATCTGATTATTCATGTAACAATGGACTGGACACTGAATGTCTCCCACCTCAACGTTATGAAGATAAATGTAAGGAAAGCGGTGGTCAGGTAACAATTGGAAGAGGGCCCGTATGTATAAAAGGTAGGTAAAAGTAACTTCGCCCTTGTTTTAAGGTTGTGTGCAGGGAGCGGGAGAGGTACTCCGGAGTTAAAGTGTTGGGGATGATCAAAAGGGGAACAAAAATCTCACACACACACACCGTACCATGTGATTTTATCATTTCCTCATCTTGTCGTCTCGAACTATGCGGGCGGTACACGGGCGCTGATGCACGCCTTACTACGCCAATCCAAATTGTTTCACCAAGAGCCATTATAGGATTGGTCCCCCACAAGAAAATCCCGGTTCGAAAATATACGAACCCCAAAAACATCATTCGATTATTCCTTCGCTTACTCAAGTGAAGAGTATCCCGTCCTGGAGGGTCGCGCTTGAGCTTAAGACGGTGATTTGGGAGTCAGGAAACGAATAAGCGGGCACCATATTAAATGGACATGAGGACCAGTAAGCCAAATTTTTGACCTCTTATAGTGGTCATTTTATCTTTTGTATCTTATGGTTTGACCATGCATTCAAATGAAACCTCTTTAGGGTTACTTTTACTTGGTGATGAAAGAAGAAGCTTCTGCTAAATTTGAGCTAAGACTCTTTTATTTTTGTTGTTTGGCTTAGTCACATCGGCGTTACCATTAAAACTAAAGTGTAAACTAACTTCGCATCCATAAACAATCAAAAACTTTCAAATCTTACCTTGAAATGGTTTGTTCCAAAATAAGAGACGTCTGCGCCGTTTTGTTTTTCAGCATTTTACAAAATAAAATTTAGCCACTTTTAACGTGAAAGGATTAACGCGACTTTCGCTGTGTTAACAACTATCTTCATTTTTATATTTCAGGAAAAACTGGCTCGACTACGACTGACAATTTAGTCTCTATCAAATCTGGTGATAATGAACTGGATAAAATGACGATTGTTGTTGCGACCGCTGGTTCCACTCTTGGTGCTTTAGTAGTGTTGTTGACAGCTTTAGTTTGTTTTCGGCGGTTTCACCGGAGTCGGCGTTTAGAAGCCGACGTTATAGCGACGACGACCGAATTGCGATAATTGCTGCATACACCGGAGACGTGCACTTCATTCTGCCGTCCTACGACGAAGCCATGAGCCAAGTACAAAGCTCACCGCCATCTTTTGAATCTGTTGTAGAGAATAGACAAGAAGGGGGAAATCAAATCGCGTCGAACGCTAACAGCCAGTCTGTAGATACTAACGAAAGAAGTATCGCTGCTAACGGAACAGACGGCGCTTCCGAGGTCAGCCGTCCCGCAGCGAGTGTTCCCGAAGGAGGCCCGAGCACAGGCGAAGAACGACTGATAAACATCGTGAACAATCCGTTAGCTGATAGTTCACGTGAAAGTAGTGAAACTACAGGTATTAATCATTCTGATAATGTTTTGCCCCCGGTTGAGGATCGTATAGCTGATAACGATTCTTCGCCTAATCTTTGTTCGGAGAGCCTCCCGAGCAGTTCGTCGGAGGACGATCTTACCTCCAGCCAGACACAGCCGTTGCTCGGCAACAGGGCGAGAGGCGTCATAGTGTAACGGACCCTATTTAGCCACAGGCAAAGAACGGCTACCCTACACTTCACAGCACAATAGGCGATTCATTCATCAATCTCATGAAGCACTTCTAACGAAAAAGCTAAGAAGCAGTAGTTACGCGCAGATAAACGTTTAAAATTGAGGCAGTATCCATTAGTAAATTGCGTGATTGTAGATTTACTGCTGCTGATCACCTTTCAGTTGTAGCGACTCCCACACTTGGTCTCGTTAAATGGCCAAACTAATGCCGGTTTTGAAAATCACGGAGTAGTAACATAGAACCACCACAGCTTGAGACCTAGTAGTATCGATGTCGGTTTCTATCCGTAGTATCGATACAGACTTCTTCGGACACCCGGAAAGCAAGAGAAGCAACGGGCCATTTGCACGATGGCGTCACTTTACTTTTCTACTACGACCAGAATCCTCCCTATAACAAAAGCCCGAAGGATTCTGGTCGTAATAGTAAAATTATGTATTCCTGCAAATGACCAATTGTAAACCACAGATGTCTGTCTGAATAGACCAATTTCGAGTTGCCCTAAGCCTCAGTTTCAAAGCGAGGCTAAATGATGAGAAACCATTCTAGTGCAAATAAAACTCATTTTTACAAGAAAGGTTTTGCACATAGCCTCGTTTGGATTCCCGCCATTACGAATTCTACCATACAGCAAGTATATTAAGATAACTTCACAACGTTTTTTTGATTTCTTGTTAAATTTTCTTCATGTCGTACACAAACTATTATTTTTAAACTCGCCTTTACAACGCGATATATTTTTGTTGTTGTTGTTTAATAACGGAGGTTGGTGTACAAAAAAATGAAGTATTTACGTGCGTTCCGATTGGTCAAAAACATTGCTTATAATGCGAGTGAACTCAGGCCCAGTTCAAACGTCCAACTTCTCATGTACCAAACAGATCCCTTCAATTAAGTCCGACATGTCTAATTTGAGTCGACCAATTTCGAGTGGCCCACTTGGGAATTTCGACCATGGAGCGACTTTGTGTCAAACGTCGAACTTTTCATGTGCCGAACCTAATACATAAATGACAGTAATTTCTTTTCACTGCTAAACATTGTAGACCATTTTTTTTACAGCGTAAGAATGGATTGAGTTCGACGAATTTAATTCAACGTCTGAATCGACCGTCGAACTTACATCATTTGGGTCGACCCAAATAGCTTTTAAGTTCGGTACATAAAAAGTTCAACGTCTGAACTGGGCGTCAGACAACTTTGCCAAAAAGAAGTGTTGGCGTATTTTATTGTAACAAGAGAGGTTAAGCGCTACGGTCACCGCTTTTCCTGCCACTTTTTATGTTTGCCTTCTTCAATATGTAAGGTTGGTCTTCACCTCCGTGTAAAACTCAATAAAATTTAAACGAAATTTTAAATGACAGAGTCAACTGTTTTTTGCTGGTGGAATCCGGAATCCACATAGCCTCCCACGCAGACGTTCGTAGGAGTTCGTCACGCGTTCCTGCGTGACGAACCCCTTACAACTTCTGCGTGGGAGGCTAGAATCCAAGACTGTCATGGATTTCCTTCTTATGGGGACGAGAAGGTGAACTCTCACTCGCTGGATGAAGTTCTGAGGAGTTGTTAACAACTGGATATATGCCAAACCGCGGTTATTAATGGCGATACTAAGCATCACGTTTACGGCGAACGTGAATTTGTACCACTTGACCAAGTTTCCCTACTGTTCATCATAACTACACGAAAATCGGCAGATTCGTGCGAATTCTATCCATAAGAATTGTTTTAAGCTGTTTTTATCCGCTCATTTCTCATTTTGAACTTGAGTTTGCCATAAACGCGATGCATAATCTCCCTATTGATGGCAAACGGGAAAAAGCTGCTCGTGGCAAAAACGTTTTGCTTGACCATATACCATCAGTAACTCACAGAATTTTTATCGGTTTAACAGCGTAGTAAGGGGGCTGTTAGTAAAATCAACCAAATATGCAACCTCGTCCACAGGGTCTTCTCGCTTTCCAATACGCTGCCGCCATATTGAAAAGCGAGAAGACCCTGGGGACGAGGTTGCTAATTAAACTTGCATCTGGCTGGTAAAATAAATGCTTCCTTTTTGACCCTTTCTGTTTTTCTGGACGACAGGCAATCTAAACGAGTTTTGCATGGATTTAGTTTTTGATAATACTGAAAGAAAAATCTGTTGAAAAAGAAGAAAGAATATTAAATTGCAATTCGAAAGTTCTGAGCTTCATTGAAACAGTTCATTACAGCCGACTCCCGATAACTCGAACCTTCCGGGGAAATCGAAAAAGGTTCGAGTTATCGGGAGCTCGAAGAAAATAGCCGGGAGTAAGGAAAAAACAGTTTTTACTGCACAGTGAGTATTCTAATCACATTTAATTGTAAAAATGTTGAGTGAAAATTGAAAGATACTGTTAGATAATTAATAAATCAGAACGTAAAGTAACAAAACGTTGCCTAAATAGAGCATGCATTTTACTTTTTGAGAAGTAAAGCTATTTCACGTTAGATTTGTGGCAAACAATATCAGCCTCCACTATCGATCCACTAGTAAACTATATGCCTACAACACGTCAATTGGAAATTGAAAATTCAATGTTTCGGAGGCAGTACACTCTTTTTTCCCGACTTTTTAAGGGCTCAAAACATGGTTCGAGTTATCGACGGTAAAATTATATAGAAATGATCTGAGGGGAAACAAAAATTACTTCGAGTTAGCGGGAGTTTCGAGTTATCGAGGGTTCGAGTTACCGAGGGTAAAATTACAGTAAATGTATGACGGAAATCCAGGGGAAATCGATTTTGGTTCGAGTTAGCGCGAGGTTCGAGTTAGCGAGGGTTCGAGTTATCGGGAGTCAACTGTATTATTATTTTTCTTTTCCTTTCTTTCACACTAACAAAAGTACTCACTTTCAATGGTCATACGTCGCACATATGACCTCATTCACAGCAAAGCTTAGACGGATTTAGCTATAGACGGTGCAAATTTACTTCTAATGATTTTCATTTTCTTTAAACTTGGTTTGACAAAACGTTGGTGCTAATCCCGGACCACAGACAAACGTTGGCACCTAAATTATGGAGGGTAAATAAGCCACGGAAAAACGCTGACCAGAAAATTCCAGTGGAAATCTTGTTCCACTGCCCACCCAAACGTCCTTCAAGATAAGCCCGTTTGACCTTTGGAGTGTTCGCGAAAATCTTCCCCACCGAACTGACAGCTAAAGCCGTTGTAAATGTCCAGCAAAAGCTAAAACAAAGAAGATAAAGGCGAAAATAGATAGAAGGGAAAGCAAAAGGAAAAAAGTCTTAGGAGACAGCGAACAATATTTTTTTCCTAAAGTATCGTGAAATTTTGTCCTATGCACAGGCTTGAACTTCTAAAGCTCTAATTATTTAAGATTGTGAAAAATAGGAGGCGAAGTTGGTTTAACTTGCAAACAACGGTTTGAATAGTCTCGGTTCTTTTTGGCAAGATAGTGGACAGAAAACAGCTTGACTCACTAGAAAAATTTCCAGGGGCGAATGACAAGGTATACCAAGAATTTAGACTTAGCCCCCAGACAAAATGTTGAGCAACTCCTTTCATTGGAGTGAAAAAAAAAAGGAATATTTCACATTATGCCAAATGATATATGTTGTTCTTTGCAACGTTTCTTAGCCATCGCATTGAAATTACCAGACACACTTGCATGGATGGGTTTTTATTCCCTTTTATCAAGCTGAGACATAAGTGATATAATCAGTGGAAGCTAGTTATAATTGTAGATCTAATTTCTTTCTAATGTTTAGATACTTTTTATACCGGTAACACACTGGCTTTAACAACGTTATACTATCCACTCAAAGATTATTACACGAAGAGAGACGATGTAGAGTTTTTATGCTGGATGGTCTGAGTACTACTGATAGCTACCGAACCACCACTGCGTGGTAGAGTCGCCATTCATTGTACAAGTAAACTTGGGGTTTGTACTGCCGTAGTAGCCAAAGTTGTCCTCACTGCTCACTGCCCCAACGGTGGGATCAAACTGGCAACCTGTGAAAGAACTGTCGATATGAGGAGTGTAAGTAGCAGCAACCTGCCAGAACCTGGCAGTCTTGTGAATTCCAATATGACCACGAATGTTGACAAGCTCGGTCTTAAGGCAAACACCAGCACCAAGAAAGGCAAAGATGTCGGCTTCTGCAAACTTCCCACGGACGTAATCTTTGTAGTTGTTGATGCCGTACTTGTCATAACTGCAGGTGGCTCGCCAGTGGGTGGATACGTCCCTCAGTGACTTCATTCTGTCCTTTGTTAGCCGGTAGAGGAACCAGTTAGGCGAGTTTTCATTCACTGGGTCGTTGACTGACATGGGTGTTTGTCTGTCGGAATAAGATAAGATAAGATAAGCGACTTTATTTTACGAGGGTTACACGTGACAGTAACAGTAAAATTACTGATAAACTTGTAGCCCTCTAAAATAAATTAAAAATACGATGAAATGAAAAAAAAACTAGCGATAGGTTACTATTTTTGGCACCCACCAGAGACTATGTCGCCAAGACATCGATGGGGTTCATATAACGTTGGGAGGAGAATCTGTGAAACACTGTAATGCCTTTTTAAAAGTACGTAGGGGTAGTTTTGGACAACAGTCTTTCCTTTAATTTGCACATTGACTATGTGAAGAAGAAAATTTCTAAAACACTGGGCATGTTCTCAAGAATTAGATCATCATTAACAACTGAAGCATCGAAGCGATTGTATAAATCGATGATACTACCAAATTTGGAATACTGTTGTGCTGTTTTTCATGGCTGTGGTAAAGGAAATGAAGAAGAATTGGCACTCCTGCAGAGACGTGCTGCTAGGATAGTGTTAACGGACGGTGCATTTGTCCACTCAAGATATGGCTCCCGGTCTTTGTTGTCATTAATTCAAAAGATCCCTTAATCTTTTGGGAATTTAATAGCAGTTTTCATAGTTCTGACTTGAAGGATTTCAAAGTCTTCTTTAGTTCTTAGGGTTCGGGGTAAGTTATTTCAGTCCTTAGCTGTTCTCACTGCAAAGGTGCGTCCCCTCTCTGAGATGTTTTTGTGGAGGGCGCGACAGTAGACTCAACGATTTCAGTGCCTTCAACAGTCTTGGATTCTAAATTCCATCCAGTGGATTCCGTATTCCAGGTAGTGGATTCTAGTCTTCGTCAGTGGAAGTTGGATTCTGGATATTTATCGTTAGTGGATTTCCAGATTCCCTGAGCTGTATTCTGGATTCCAAAGCCCAGAATTCCGGATGCAGCAGGTAAAATTTTCCCGGATTCCGAAATCTGGATTCCCTTTCATAAGGCAAACATTTTTAGGGCGAAAAAAAATTAAACTAAGTAACTAAATCACAAATTAAGGCAAAAGGCAAAAAACCTGCGTATTAATGGATCTGAACAAGGAGTTAACAAGACTGCAGATTTAAAGGTGCGCTACAAGGTACTCACCACGATTTGGTAGTTAGTAACAAGGGAATGAAAAATGTAGTCAGGGAATTAGTTAAAGTCTTTAAGATAAACTTATTGACTTTAAGCCTTTGAAGTCCACTTTGGTCGTTTTTGGTTCATATGGACCTATGCGTATTATTCTTCCTGAACCCATTAAGGTTTCTATTTAAGAGATTAAGGTAATATGCAAAATCAGCGAGACTGATACCTCGACTGATTAGCAAATTTTGACCAATTCGGACAGAGTTAAAGACTAAAAAAACAAGCAACATTTTGGCAAAAATCCAACCCTAATCCCCATGCAATTTTTATTTATTTTTTAGCAAAACGTTTCAAGACGTACCTTTTAGTAAGACTTTCTATTTTTAGCTGGGTTTTTTAATATTATACACAACACATGATGTAATTCTTATTTATCATTTGGTTATTTTTATTCTATGTTATGTTGTATTGCGCAGTTAATCATCCCGTTATGGAACTGCGCAATATAAGTTTTAAACTAGGGTATCTAAAAGATCGTAATGCTGCGGCACATTCTGTTGTTACTGGCATTAGTTAGGCAGTGAGACTGAGACGGTAGGACTCGAACCCGGCACCTTCGACTCGAAGCGACTACACCTAACCACTACAGCGCAGAGGCTGATTACGTAATCTGTAGTAAAAGTCTTTCATTTTATTCCTTTTCCATGAAACTTCCGCCGGCAAGATGATCGCCGGCCGCATCAACCGAGCTATTAACGGTGAAAAAACAATGTAAACGCATCTTCCATGGCAATGAATGAATGAAAGAACATAATTATGCTTTTCAAAACACCGATACACGTCCTCGTCAGCAAAATAGGACACAAAACATATGTTTTGTTATCTCGATTTCCGCTGTTATTTTGAAGCGAATGGTCAAAATTAAAATCACATCCATTTTCGGCTCATACAGGTTCTTAAGAATAGCATGGCATGACATTTTCTCACTTTCACATCACCTTCTAGCAAGCTGGAATTTGTACATCCCCCGTGTTGCGGAGTCGAAGAGCAAATACTCATCTTCTCGTCAGGTTTAACACCTGGACGAGTCAAAGGCTCTTGAATTGAAATCCAATCCCCAAGTTAACCATCGTACTCATCTGAAAGACTCCTGCGTGTCTTAAATTTGGTAAGACCTCTAACCGTGCTGTAGAAAATTTGCTACAAAGGAAACTCTGAGTCTGGGCAGCGAACGATGCGAACTTCCCCGTGTTTTTATTTGACTTGTTCGTGGCGCAATGCACTCTGGTTAAATGCAATGCATTGTGGTAAAAAGTGATGAATTCGAGAATTCGTCGCCCCTTATATATTTCCCTTAAATCCTGATTATGTTGCTGCTCGCTCCCTACGGTCGCTCCGCAGCAATTATCATTATTTACTATTTACCTACAGTCTACTCTTTACAGTTAAATTTGCATATCAAGAGCCATCATGGCTCTTGGCATATATATATCCCTTTGTTGGAAAGAAAGCCAGCCAAAATTTTAAGGTGGGCGACATAACTGGCTGTAAAAAGAAAACAAAAAGGAAAAAGAAGAAAGCGAGAAAACAATCGAAATTACCTTGCGAGTAGAGTTTTCTCGCTTGCATGGCTTTTAGCTTTTACGAAGTCATTCGCGTGGCTTAACTTTCGCGTTGTTCGCAACGAAGCGACAGACAAGACTCAGAGAGAAACCTGTGCTCGCAGGGTTTAATCGAAATAGATAAGAAGTCCAAATTTTGGTTTATGCGCATGAGAAAAAAAAAACAAAAAAGCTGCTTCATTGGAGCCATTCTTGTGCTAACTGGCCAAAAACGATCCAATAAGGAGGATCTAGTCCAAAAAGCGGTTTTCCCTAAAAACTGGAGGACCACAAAGGGTTAATCCATTCAAAACAGTACCTAAAGTTTGAGAAGAGCTTGTTTTTCAGACTCCAAGACATGATAAGTGTCCAGGCCGCCCCAGGTTCTGTTTCCATGTCACAGTACACAGTGAATCCATTCCCTGCAGCATCGTAAATCTTGTAGTAACCGCACTTGTCTGCGCCATTCTTTAGATGGTCTACGCAAGATCTCGGTTTCAATTTGTTGGCATTTTCTTGACACGGTTTTTCCTGTAAATCAAAAAACAAACGATAAGGCCTGTAGATCGAACCAGCGCGTAATGCATGGGGCGAGGAAAGTTATGTGCGCGAATGTTATGTGCGGCTGTATGTAGGACGCCCCGGATCAACACAGAAGCTTTGTATAGTTCGATAAACACATAAAAGAAATTTAAGTGTACATAACTGATAATGGATGACTTTCGTTGTCTTGCTGTTTCCAGGATCATTGTAGCAAGTTGAGATGTTCTATTTTCTCATGAGCTCAGAGGAGCTGTCTTCTTAATGTTTTATCGAACTACTTACGATACATTCCCAAAAGAATCTTTAAAATTTGGCTTCTACGAGTCTGTTTAAAACAGTTAGTAATATTTCTATGTCGTTTAAGGGCCCTTTTTTCCTTCGTCTTTTTTCTCTTCTTTGGGATGGTCAGTCTTCAACCCCTAAAATCCTTTAGTCCTTTTGTTGCGCTTTTCTGTTTTACATGGCGGTCACGTTTCAAATTATAGCTATTCTTTCATTTTAAATTACCCATCAAAAAATAAGCTCCCACCTTTGGGCCTGAATCCTGGCCTGATCCTACGTTTTGTTTAACACTAGCTTTTAAATTGCCTGCCTGAAAAAAAAATGATGATAATGATGATGATACCATAAGTGAAAATATTTCTCCTGCGATGCATTTACTGCGGAATATACGGTTACGGAAAGGGGTAATCCTTTATTTGGCTTAAACATTAATATGTGTCGCTGGACAGGCTATTGTTTTCAGGTTCAGGTTTTAAAGGCCTCCACGGCACACCTCTACCAAAACGCCCCTTAAGTCCCCCTCCCCCCACCCAGGGTGGCAACATAGCTTGTTTCTTGCAGGAATTCATTAGGCCTGTAGTTTCGGAATGTGGATCGATCACGATCTTTGCAACACTAGCTAACTGCTTTGTTAGCGTTATTGTGTCTGGAGTTCTCTCTGCAACTCGACGTCCCTACAAGTAATAAAAGACCCTGGGAAGGAAGTTGACATTACCGATTTTCCTTGGCAAGCAGCCACCAGGAGAAAGAGACAAACAAAAGAGAACTTCATGGACATGACTGATAACTGCCGTTCGTTCACGGATGAATCTGTTAGAATGAAACATAACCAGTATATTTGTAAGTTGTTTTAATAGAATGCAAAATCAGAGGATACAGAAGAGCATTGCGCATGAAATCTCTATTCTGTAGGGGTTTTTCTTCTATCACGTTTTGGCATTAGCGCGCATTGAAGTGAATGAAAATGGAATGAATACCAACTACACTAGCCACCAACAATTCATTAATGTGGTCTATTTTGCGTAAACAGGGCTTCTTTTGAGGCCGGAAGCCCAACTTAACGTTCGGTCCGGAAATTTACTTTCACACTAAGTTGGTTCAGGTGCGTGGCCTGCTGTGAGGGAGGTCCCGAGTTCGATTCCCAAGTTAGACCACAAATCCTTCTTTCGACATCTTTCCTTTCCGTGTAGTTTTAGCTGGCTTTAATACCCGTTAAATGGATTGAGAGAAGGAGGGGCGGGGGGAGGAAGTGAGGGGTGATCCGTCGGTCTCAGGTTTGTTGGTCAGATGACTATTTCGAGTTACCGACGTAAAATAGAAGGACTCTTTACTTTTTTGCCTTTAATTATTATCTGAAGAATAAATCATTCGGATAGTTTGGTACTTGTATTTACAGTGCAGGGGGCTGAGAACTTCTCGCTTTATCAGTTTTGGCCCAGGGAACCGACAGGAGTTTTACGCCTTTAGAGAGTCTCAAAAAGGTTCCGAGGGAACATGCCCTGGGAATTCCCTATCAATTGGCGCCTTTAGCATTCATGTTCGCTGCCGCGGTGCTCACGTTCGCTCTCTAGAAATTCTCCTGTGACATACATTGCACCTTCAAAACAAGAGTAGACCATTTCAGGCACCTCCATTCTTGGGCTGGTGACGAGACGACGCGAATGATCGCTGGACTAAGAAGGAAGAACGCGGAAGAAGAAGAAGGAAGAAGGAAAAACAAGGAGGGAGAGTTCTGGATAAGAAGCAGGAAATGGACAAAATTAATCATGATCAAGCTTATCCTCTCCTGTGAGTATATGATTGCCCTTTTTTTTCAGTTATAACTTATATATAGGAGCTAACCAAAAGTTGCAATAATTCGGAGGTCAAAAAAAACCTTTTTTAGCAAAAATCACACTGGAAGAAAAAAAGGTCTAGATATACAAATTTTAATTTGGTTTTTGCATTTATATCATTTAATGTCGCCGCTCCTGTGTTTAGGTAAAAAGACTACGCGATTCCTATACCGTGCTATATTAAATTCAAACGTGAAGAAAGACAACACTCCATATTGGCGTTAAAGGGGGGCACACCGCTCCGCTATCGGCGTGACGTTCGACTTCCCCGTGTGACAAAAGCGTGACTAGAGGCCAACCTATCTCCCCAGCGGAGTGTACGGCGCTGGATGGGACCGGTAGGACAAAAAACCTCAGGCAACCTAAAAGCCTTGCTCTCCACGGCACTATAAGCTGAAAACCTACGGCTCATCATCGTGCAACCTAATGGAACGAGTGTAGGCAGTTCATAATTCGCTCAAGCCAATATAACAGCAATTTAGGCCGACACCGCCGGCAAGTGCTGAATTGCAAAACGATTAAACATTGGCATATAACAGAGCTAAAGGTAATCGCAATTGAACGAGTGCGAAAAACACGAAGCTTGGCGAAGTCGCCACGAGACTTAACCGCTACTGATACGAGCGAAGCATGTATCCCCCCAGGCGAAATAAACAAGTGTTGACTGATATGAGGTAACGCGCGCCATACGAGGTGCGGCAGACATGAGAACGTTTTGCGGAGCATGAATGTATAATTCGTAACAGTCAGAAGACCACCTTCCTAAAACTTTAATCAACCAATCTGGTAAGCCTGCAGCAGCAGCAGTAGAGGCAGCACCGATACGAAAACTATGCCCCTTAAGAGAACTACACTCTTTTTTTATAAGAATGTTGTTTTTCCGGCCCAGGCTGAATATTGTTATTTTTCTGCCGATTTTTGGCTGAAAATATTCTTGTATTATTCTTAAATTATAGCTTATGACATTTCCGTTTTAGAATTTATTGGGGTATATGTATATGTATTACATGCACCGTTCATCGAACGGTCATTAGCGTTGAACATTTTGCTATAGCTAGTGCAGGTTTTTTCGTTTTGTTGGCTAGTTTCGCCGTTCAGAAAAAGGAATAATTTTATACGGTTAAGTTAAAAACATAAAATTGTATTGTATTTACAGATGTTTCAACACACAAAATTATATCTATCCTTTTCAAAATCTCAGCCTTGGCTTTATTCTTAAAATATTCTTAAAATTTCGCAAATTTCAGCCTCGATATTCTTATAAAATATATTCTTATAAAAAAAAAGAGTGTATAGGGTAAACCGGCCTGACAAGCCTCGTGCCTGAGAAGGGAAACAACCGATTTTCTTGTTAGTAGGCAGCCGGAATGAAATGAAAAAAAAAAGGGACCCTGGGGACGCGCAAGTGAGAAATAATGACGAACACGCAATAACTAACGTGTGACCTCTACGAAACGCGTCGGTCTTAGATGACTGAAGAAAAACTGACATCCGCTGCGGGCAAGCCAGATTTGGTTCAAAAGATGCACTGGACACGGATAAATCAAAGCTGGGACTATACGAAGTGGTTCCTCGGCAGGTAATTCGCTAGAGCGCAGAAAAGCAAAAAAGGCGAGAGTGAAGGCCGCCCAAAACATTGTGAAGTCCCTTTCCCTGATACTTATGCCCGTTACTCTGCTGAGTTGCATGTGAGGTAACCATCGACCCTGAAACCATTTCCAATTAAAGTACCCACCGTAGCCAATTGTACCCGACGCGTCAGTATATAGCTCCATTTGCGGGGAGGGCGTAACGGTAGTGTTTAGAAAAAAGGTAACGACCGTTCCAGTCGGCTAAGAAAGTTTTCCACATCTTCAAATCTTTGAAAAACTCCTTATTTAGTCTAATGTGGTGAAAACGGCTGGGAACCCCTTTGGTTAGATTAATCATCCTTTAAAGGAAGGTTCTCCCTGGGACCACGGGTTTGCACGCAAACTAAACTGAGGGGTGCCAATAAGAGATTGCAGTTCAAATAGGCGGACAGAACGTCGCTGGGTAAAGGAATTGAGGATTTCCCGGGCGCGGTTGAGTTTATCGTCAGGACAGCGAGCTTCCATACGAATGTTGTCCAACACGATAACCATAAATTCTAGTTCTTGGGAAGGGCCCAGGGTTTTTTGAGGCCACCACGGGAGCCTGGAGGGACATGAAAACGCGGAGTAAGGTGCTAAAACTTGTCAGACATTTAAGCCGCGTGGGTTCAGCGATGAAAAAATTGTCAAAAATGTAAAGCACGTGCTGTAGGCCGTAATTGTTTTGTAAGATCCATTCCAGGGCGTCCGAAAATTGATTGAATAAAAACGAAGCGCTCCTGAGACCGAAAGGTAGGTAAAGATCTACATAATACTGAGATTGCTAGTAAATCTCATCAGGTGCCAGTCACCTGGGTGAATTGGAATAAGGCGGAAGGCGGACTTCAGGTCAGTTTTTGCCATATAGGAACCCGGACCCAGGGACAAAAGGATGCGAATAGCATCATCTACCCTAACATATTGAAGTGCATAAGGCTCCTTAGGTATGTAATCATCAATACTGTCTCCCTCCGGATAAGATAGATGGTAAATGGTGCGCCAATCTGAGGAATGTTTTTTAGGGACCACGCCCCACGGATGGCACTGTATATGTGATAGGAGAGGGGAAGGGAAGGGCCCGGCGACCCTGCCCAACGAGATCTCCTTGGTAAGGTTAGAGGAGACCACCTCAGGCTGCTGAACTGCGGAGATTAAGTTACGGGAGACTCGATTTTTTTTTCCGGACCAGTGTACCCAACGTGTGTGCCAAAGCGTAATGCGTTAATTAAACTATTACTAAAATCGCGATTAGGATGGTGGGAAAGTTCCCTTTCTAAAATAGCTACGTTAATAGGGGTGGATACGGGAGGCAAAATGTTCCTTGCTAGTATCCGCACTTTATCGTTTGCCACGGTCGCGGGAGCTGAAACTCTGATGGCGCCTTGAGCTGTCCTTTGAGATACTGGCAGGGCAGGTGAGGATAGAGTGGTTGGCGGAACGGCAACGGCGGCACAGGTGCGGGAAGGGACAGGAACGTGCAGTGCAGCCACTTCATCGGTTGAACTTGAAGCACACGGGTCCTTTAGGCTGGCGACGCGAGTGGTCAGCTGACGGACACTCACTCTGTTTGTAGTATGGGCTGCAGCAAGTAAGACAGTGAGGTTTAGCCAATCCAGAAAATAGTACTTTCCACAGATCTAAGTCTACTTGATCCCAGCTCAACGAGGGTCGTTTTCTGCCCTGCGACGACTGTTCATCGTACCAGACCCAAGCCAGGCCCTGAAACTGGGTTTCCTCCCTGCTAATAATCTGCTGGTATTTAAGCAGTTCAATGGAACGCCTGGGATACGCGGCAACAATTACCAGCATGTAGGTCGTATAGGCATCCAGCCATGTGTGAAAAGTATCTATCACTGGTTTTCTTTTCCGTACCTTGGACAAAGGGGAGGAGAGGGAACCTGGGGAAAAGTCGTCCAACCGCAACTGTAACTCGGGGACCTGGGGTTGAGTAAGGGAATCGAGGAGCAACAAAGTGAAATCAATGAACTCACTCCGTAAGATTTTGTCTTTTAAACTCCTTTCTTACGGACGGTGCAAGCCCAGAGGAGTTGCTGTTCCGGGTCGCCTAAGCTGCGTGCCACGGTAAGAAGGTGTGGCGCCCATGAAAGGGAGATTCGCGGAGATGGAAAAACTCTGAAGCGCGCGATCCACGGAGGATTGCACCGTGCTCTCAATGGTGGCGAGCAGGGGTAAAGGAATTCCCCGCGTTAGGCGTTGTCTCCTCGAAGTCCTCCACCAAAGGATCATCCAGGTCGGAGTAGGTCTCCACCGGCTCTTCCTCGGAGTCCTCATCCGATAAAACAGCACTGATCAGGGGCTTGAACAGTCGCAGGTTCCGGCTGTTCATGGTGTGCAGATGTGGCT